GGCCAGCTGTACACGGGAGGACAGCCAGCCTGAGATGGTAGCGGTGGCATAGCTTTCACTGACACCTCCCAGGACAACCCCTGCCCCATCCTGGCCCACCACCACCCTGCTGAGCACCTCCACACGTTATCTGAGCTTTGGAAAAAACAGCTCCTCCCCCCCAAAAAAGAAAATAAAGCCCAGGGTCTGAACACCTCCCTCTCCAGGAAACCCTCTGAGCAATGCCACAGGGAGGGACAGCCACTGCCCCACGTCCCCCTCCATGCCAGGGAGGGAGCACCGCCTCCCCCTCACCCCCTGCTCTTCCCGCCCCCCAGAATCACAAGGAATCCAAGATCACCATCTTTGAGAAAGACAACTTCATCGGCCGCCAGTGGGAGATTGGCGACGACTACCCCTCGCTGCAGGCCATGGGCTGGGCCAACAACGAAGTGGGCTCCATGAAGATCCAGTGTGGCGCGTAAGTGGTGGGCAAAGGACCACGAGCAGCAGGGACAAACCGCTGCCATCGCTGTGCTACCGCAGCTGGAGCGGGGACACCCCGTAACCCCCTTGCTTACCTCTTCTCCCCTGATGACTCCTTTTCTTCCAGCTGGGTTTGCTACCAGTATCCCGGGTACCGTGGCTACCAGTATGTCCTGGAGGCCGACCACCACGGAGGAGACTACAAGCACTGGAGAGAGTGGGGTTCGCACGCCCAGACCTCCCAGATCCAATCCATCAGGCGTGTCCAGCAGTAGCTCCTCACTTTCCAGTACATCTTTGCAAGGTTTCTAAAGCTCACCGGCTCCCTTTTGGTGCTAATACTCCCCTCCCAAAATAACCACCCCTTCTCGTACTGCAACTGCTTATGGAACACCACTCCCAAACGGTACCAACTGCCACAATTGCCAATAAATGTGACTGAAAGAAAAAGATAAACCAGCTTGGTGGGTGTTTGCTGTTGTGTCTTTGGGATTGAAGTCACACACTCCCGTCCCAGCTGCGGGGACCAGACCCTTCCCTGCCTATTTGAGGCAGGACTGAAGCCCGGTGGGGTTCACACCAAGGCACGTTCCTCCCCCGACTCGTCTCGCACACGCAAACACGGCAGCCGAACCCTTGGTCGCTTCAGCCCTGCAGCCGCGGGGTTTCCTTTCCTCCCTGCCCTCCCCTTCCCCTGTCAAGGTAAAGGACACGGCGGTCCCAGCCCCCGGCCCCACCGAGCACCCACGTACACACAGCCACCCGCACCGCGCTGCTCGTGGGCTCTGCGGCCGGTGCCGCCGGGCCCGAGGGACCGAACGTCATCAGCCACGCAGCATCCCTGGGGCCAAGGGGTGCTCCCTGAGGGCGCAAAAAAGAAAGTCACACTGACACCCACAAACTTTAAAATTTTTATTCAACAATTTACATCACTTATTGTCTGTCTTAACGTATTCGATCTACACAAATTTCTTTTTTTTTTTCCTGATAAAATAATAAAATTTGGATAAATTTTGAAGACCTGTTGGTGCAGAATAAACAAAATTTCAGGTAACTTTTTTTTTTTTTTTTGTTAAAACATTTAGTGTGAAGTATGACATCATTGGTAAAGATACATCATGCCGTTACAGCTCATGGACATTACCTATCCTTACAGTCCGTGACATCACCCTTACCAGCGCAAGGGGCTGCGCCAGACACAGCTACAGCAGGTATTACACTAACTCTTCTAGCCACCCTCTCACGACCGGGACAACGCCTACACTTTTCCAGCTGGGCACACAGAGTGCATTAACCTACTCGGAAATACCGGGGAGGGGAGAAAGAAACAAAAGACTACCTTTACCGATTCGTGTGGTCGCACACAACAACATCGACACCAAAGAGGGGCTGCCCCTCTCCGCAGGTCAGAGGTAATTCAGCTCCTGAGCGGGTAGAGCACGACCCCTCGCAGCGATTTTAATACACACCAGGAAACCGAAGGAAATGAGAACTTATCGACGGGGCGGGGTAGGAGAGGCGACGGCTCCGGCGGCTCTGCCCGGAGGGACCGCTCCCGCCCCGGCTCGCAGTCGAAGCGCGCGGTTGTGTTTCGCACCGCCCTTAACACTGAAATATTGAGGGGAGGGGGAAGAGAGGGGCATCCGTCCCCCCAGTAAACAAGTTGAGGACCTTCAGGGGCTCGCAAGCCGCCGAAGGTGTGTAAGTACACGTGTGATGGTAGATAGAAAAGCAGCCCTGTTCTGTATGAAAAAAAAGCTGTCAAGTTAGTACAAATTTCTGCCACGGCGAAGGGAACAGGAGGAGAAAGCTGTCAGGGTCCTTCTCCCGTCACAAAATCCCAACTCTTCCGCACAAAGGCTCGGGGCTAAGCAACAAGTGTCCAAAGGTGGTACCGGCAACCCAACGCACCCAACTCACGAAAAGAAAACCAAAA